CCTTCACAGAAAGGAAGATGAACATCCAAGTGGTAAAAAGTCGAGAGGGGGACAGAATAATGATTCACAGACGTAAAAGAGACAGACAGACACGAAGACATTAAAAAGGTAAGATGAGTACTGTGAAGGGGTCGAATATGATAAATAGTAGGGCCATAGAAGTTTGAAGTCAGAAGTCAACTGCCGATCAATAGACTTTTTTGCCGTATGAGTATACGTTGCCCAGGGTGTACCACGTGGAGGTAAGTCCATTGCACACCCCATGCTTTAATATTAAAATAATGGAACACTGAGTTCTCCACTTTGCTTGATACGTTTGGGGCGAAACTTATACAGTGTGGTCAAGTTAAATGTGGGATCGAAGTGCGTTGTGAATACTTTCAATGCTTGCTTTGAACTGTTGAATGATCGAAATGTTGCTATTCCTGATATTCTGTATTTCGCCGGCACCTGGCGTAATACAAAATTAACTTAGATAAAATTTTTTTGGTTTACTCTGCTTTAAAGAGGCACTCCCACAATGCACGCAATGACAACCAAACGCCGCAAGCCAATTCTACGAGCTATTCAAGCCGTCAGCCATCTCTACCCGGTACCACATCAGGTACTGTAGATCCCTCAATTCCTGAGGGCGAGGCCGTTAAAGATATCGATCTCACCGATCGTATTATCCACAAACTTGTCAATGATCAAATGCTTAATCAAGTTGAAATGCCCCTCGATGGATCGAATCAGAAGTCTGAAGAGGAATCAAAAAGTGGAGCCAGCCTTGTTAATACCTCCGATGACTCTACGGAGCCGGGTCATGATAAAATCGATGGCCAAGAGGAGCCTCAAGCTAAAATGGGTAAGAGTATAATTGCTATGAGCATGAATCTTCACCCATTAAGGACGCTATTAAATGAGAATTGCAATCAGTTGGACTATGCGTCTGGCTTGTAATGTGGAACAGTTTTGTTCGCTTTTGAATGCATATTTGATGAAGAAATTTGCAAAATGCAATACATCTTTGTGCGCATAGAAGTAGATGCTTCTCATACTGAGGCTAAAGTGGGGTCTCCTAGTCAATAATTACATACCTCAGCTATTTGTCTACGCAAGGTTGTCATCCTGCCCATAGGCGTAGTCAAACTCGGATTCAATCAGTGGCATAAATAGCCGTCATTGTTAAGTAAATAGCCTCCTTTTGAGGTGAATCACGTTCCTCTTGCCGACTCCAAGTGGGCAACATAGCTCACGTTTATCTTCTATGTAAAAGTACATTAAATTCGACTCCTCTATTTTTGGCGAATTGGCAATTTTTTGATTTTCCACTTCATCGAAAAGTGGATGTCAATTATCTAGGATGCGCGTTGGCACGTCAATATTGAGAATGAGCGGCGTTTGTATCAGGCTCTTCTTGTTGTTGTTATCGGCCCCTGAAACTGAAATCTATTTATTGATTTGTTTATTTGTATCAAACGGCAGGCGTGTTGATAGGTATCAATAGCCATTTAGTTAACTTCAGGCTTCACTGAGGGGAGGAACATCAAAGTGTGAAAAAGTCGAGAGAGGAGGGCGCAGAAGAATGTTTCAAAGATGTAAAAGAGACAGATACAAAGGCAGAAAAAAGGTGAGGTGGGTACTGTGGAAGTAGTCGAATATGACATACAGTGAGGTGATGGTAGTTTGAGGTCAGAAGTCAACTGCCGGTTAATAGACTTATTTGCCGTATGAGTATACGTTTCCACATGGATGTAAGTCTATCACACACCCCAAGCTGGGATCTTGAATGCTGCTACTATTATGACATTATTAAACCTTCAAATAGGCCTTAAGTCCCATAACTCAATAACACAACTGCCTTAACAGTAAGCTCTACTTCAAAATATTACAAAACAAGGACCTTGTGATTTAGTGCATTCAAACAAATGTGTAAATTTCAAGACTGCTTAGCAGCTAATTGTGTATTTTTTCTCGCCCCATTATTCTAATACCGCTTTATTGCCATTTAAACTATCATTTTCAGACAAAATTAAACAACCCACTCCTCCTAACCAACAGGAGCCACTGCAACGCCAACATCATCAAGGTCAATCAAATATTGAATCCGAACGGGTTGGAGTTGAATCCTTCAGAACACCTCCCTTCATTTGGTCCTACCTTCATCAAATCCTTCTGGACAGTATTCTACGCTCTATTGAAGATGAATTTCAGTACGCTTTCTACTATGATGTTTTACTTTCTGATAACTTTTATTTGGTAACTAGGAATTGAAGTTAACGTTTACAATCGTATTTGTGCATTTCGTTTTTTTTCTTCCTTCTAGTGCCATAGCCACTACGACTTCGTCCAAGGAGAAGCTGGAAACAGAGCTTCCCCCTTCCAACTCTGCGGATGCCGATGAATATGATGTGGCTGGAAGCATGGCAGTGGCTCAACTACAGGCCTTCATTAACGAACCTGCCAATCAAATATATGCTATTAATTTAATTCACCTTATCTCGCAACTTTCGGACAGTCTTGTCACAGCCTGTGGGGGACTTTTGCCCCTACTGGCAGCCACAACATCTCCAACGGTGAGTTTTCTTTCCTGCTTCATGTCTGTTTCAACATTTTCAAGCCGTGGAAACTGCTTCCAAGGGGGTGGGGGGAGAGAAATCTAGTTGCTCCAAATCTAGTTGTTGCAACGGTATGGTGGGTGTGTGTGTGTGTGTTCGTGCATATGAATAAATTTGCATAACATTCCCTCTCCTGCGCAAACGGAGCCCACAAGAGGATGTTATTTAGTGTCAGGCAATGATGTTGTATTTTTCGATAATATTGGGTTGGATTTGAGTACTCTAGCGACCGTTTCCTCTGTTGATTTTGCAAAACAAAATCAGAACAGTTAGCAAACTTGAGATTTGAAATCAAAACGAAGTTTCTAGTCATTTGCTGGCTATACTGTTGAAGGTGAGGTGTTTTGTTGTCATTGTGACAGTAGTCGGTTGAATATCGAAATTTCCACTAAAAGTTGGGAACTACTTATTTCTTCTCATTTTGTTAGATGGAATTGGAGATTCAGGAGCCTTCAAGCGGTCTTTTGTTGGAAACAGCATTCGGCTTTCTGCTTCGAGTGGCAAACATTGCCGATGTGGTTGTTTTTATGCCAGCTGCATCTATCAATTTGAGTACTCTCGAGAAGGAAACAGGCATGAATGCTGGTGGAATCGTTCGGCAGTGTCTGCGACTCGGTAAATACATTAATAATAATAATAATAATGGACTCGTTGATGCTTTTGTGAAATTTGAGGCTTATTTTTTTCTATGTAGCTTGTTTGTGTGCAGTCCGAAACTGTCTGGAATCCCGGCTTCGCGATTTTCTGCCTACCCCCGAAATTCTCTCCCAAATTCACACTCTTCCAACCCCCCATCACCACATTGCGTCTCCACTCTCCTCCCCCCTCCACGACAATGAGACTGAACTTCGTCCACGGGCAACTTCAAGCACTTCCTCTACTTCAACACCCACAGCGGATTTAGCTGACTCTTCGTTGCCTCCTGTCGATAAACGACATTCCAAGTCTCGTCTCCTCTCCGGATTTCACTTCTACAGTCTCCTGCGAAATAAAGCCGAGGTGATTCAGAGATTGGCCAACCCTACCGCTTCAAATGCTGGTCTTTCAAAGAAACATTTTTCGCCGGATTGTATTGCCTATTTGGATAGGCTTGGAAATCTTCCTCGAAATCTCCAGCACTTGGCACTGGGCTTAAGACCGTCTATGGCGAGCTATCCTTCTGAATATATGGTTCGTTTGACTATCATCTTTTTGCGCCTTGATTCTCATAACTATAGTTACAAAAGAATGCTTCGGTACACTGTGACGCTAATGTCGACCCTGGGTGTGTGTGTGGTCGAGTAGCCCGCTGATTTATTTGAGGCATTCTTTGTTTTCCGAAGCTGCTGAAAATTGCATTCTTTTCGATTTGCTCTCTCTCTCTCTCTATGGTACTGATGAAGCGAACACCGTCGAATAAATATAGTTTTTCTCACACTACTCCCAGATGTTTTTTAGACTACTTACCGAATCCTCATCTCTTCAGCTTTCAACGCCTATTGAACTCACAAAGCGTGGATCCTGAAACTTCCCATAACATCTGAAACTTCTCAAACCAATCTTGGGCGGCAAGTCACCGTCACAACTCCAAGACCACGTGTGTTTCTTGGCGTTAACGTTGAACGTAGGCACCAGACTCAGAGTGTCCTAGATGCACTTTCGAATTAGGGCAAATCTTTTTTTGAGTAATTTGAACCCAACTATCCACCTGTCTCGTGAACTTTGACTTGGCAGGGACCTTTTGCGTTGATCGCACATTTTGGATATGTAGAAAGTCTAGTGATTGAACGCCCGCTTTTACCTCTGAATTTTCTCCATCATTCTCGCAATCTTGGTGTCTGGTATAAAACTCACGCATCTTTTCTTGATAGCATTGTTTTCTTTCTAATTGAGAAATTTTCCCACGTTCGTTCGTCTAGGGAGGGATATTCGACAAGACGGTTGGCAATCCTCTTCACAATATCGAGTCTCTCCTTCAAAACGTCGATTTAAATAGGTTGCACAATGTCATTTACAGAGATGAGGTGAGTAAACAGATCCCGGCACATCACAAATATTAAGTTCTAAGCAGACTTACTCATCGCGTTTCTGTTTTTTTGTAGGATGAGACGAGACAAGTGCAGTTTGTTGCTCTAGCTGTGATCTACTTCCTATCCGTGCTAATGGTCTCGAAGTATCGTGACCTCCTTGACCCTGTCAATCTTTTGACGGTGTGTCACCGTGAGGCGGCTGTAACTGATCAATCCCCCCAACCACCTGTTTCTCCTGCTGCTTGGCGTTTGGGCTCTTCCTCTCCTTCTAGCAATGCAATTGCAGGTGCCAACTCACCTGAAGGTTAGTTATCTTTTGTTTAGCTATCTGCGATTTGCATTTGTACATAAATATCGAAGTCTTGAGATTAATTATGGTAAATCATTGATTAAAGTGGTTAGAGAGACTTGGTAGGTAGCGGATGAACTGCCTCATTACGAAATCTACAATCACTCGCTCAACACTCCTCAAGCATGCTGGTCTCTGGGCATAAAAGTTCTCTCCACCTCCTCTTGATGCTGAATGCACACATCTCCTCTCCGATGCGTGTTCTTCTTGATTGGGACTGAAATACCTCCCTCCCCCCTCCCCCCTTTCATATCTTCCTACCAGGCAAAATAACTCCGGGGCGACATAACTATTTATTTCAGTATTGACTCGAAAAAAAAACATTTTCCCTATAATTTGTCATCGTAAATAAAGAATGGGGGGCGGTATATGCCTAGGAATGCAAAAACAAAATCATATTTCTCATGAACCTATTCACTCGGAGATTTAAGGTAATTAATCAATCTTATGGTGGATGATCAAGATGGGTGGGTGAGTGGGTGTTG